GCCTGTCCTGCCGAAGTGGGGCTCTGACCACCACTTCCTGCCTAGAAAGAGGTGCCTCGGCATCAGCAGGGACAGTCGCTGTGGAGGTGTGACTAACAGGAGGGGGAAGTGTGCTTCGTAAACTGTCAAATTCTATACACATGTTTGTTGGCTGTTATTCTCCTTCAGAGTGTTAGCCTTGGAAACTGTAACAAGTGGCAAGGCAGGTGATGGCATCGTGACAATGAAACAGGAGAGCCAATGCTGGTCTGTAGAGTTAGAGTTGCTGACTGCAGGGGAAGGATGTGGACTCTTGGAACAAAATTGAGCTCGGCCTCCTCTAACTTGTGTGAAACAGCCTGCGAAGGCGTGTGTGCTGCGGGTCTCATTCAGATTCCTTGGAGGCGTTGCCCACTCCCAAGTGAAGGCCTTGGACAAGACAGCTCTTTTATCAGAGGGGGAACACCTGTTTTATTTATTCTTTTATCCATTAAATCGCCGTTTATTGGACACCTATTTTGTGCTGGGTCCTGTAATAAAAAGTATGATTACAACTGTAGTAAACACTATAAAAGAGATATACAAGGTGCTATAAGGGTCTGTAATCCAGACGTGTAAGGTATATAGTCTGCTATACAAGGGCCTATCATCAGGATAGCTGAACTAGTCTTGTAAAACCAAGGAAGTGTTGATAATGAAGCTGAGATCCAAAGAGTAGGGAGACATCAACTGGGTAAAGAGGAGACCAGGAACAACCCAGGAATAAGGAACAGTCTATGTAAAGACCCTGCAATGGGATAGAGAAAGACGTGTATCAGTTTTTATTCTGTCAAGTCACTCCAAAACTTAGTGGCTTAAAATAACATCCTTTCTTTTTTTTTCTTTTTTTTTTTTTAACAGAGTCACACTCTGTTGCCCAGGCTGGAGTGCAGTGGTGTGACCTCAGCTCACTGCAGCCTCCACCTCCCCGGTTCAAGCGATTCTCCTGTCTCAGCCTCCCATTGGGATTACAGGTGTGCACCCCCACACCCAACTAATTTTTATATTTTTAGTAGAGACAGGGTTTCACCATGTCGGTCAGGCTGGTCTCAAACTCCTGACCTCAGGTGATCCGCCCCCCTCGACCTCCCAAAGTGTTGGGATTACAGGCGTGAGCCACCATGCTTGGCCTCATCCAGGCAATGTTGTAGGTCAGAAATTTGGCTGGGCTCGGCCAGATGGCTCCAGCCCTCTGGGTTAGGTAGTGGCTGATCTCAGCTGGGGCTCACTCATGCATCTTCAACAGTTGCCAAGTCTGTGAGGAACTGGCTGATTGATGGCGGGGACTCCTCTTGGCGGGCTTTTCTTCTTCAGCAAGCTACCCTGGGCTTCCTGCACATGGCAGTTGAAGGTTTCCAAGAGGCAGCAAGAAAAAGCATGCTCCAAAGCTCAAGTACTTTTCACATCTCTGCACTTGCTACTGTTCCACTGACCAGAGCAAGGCATGTGGTGGAGCCCAGAGTCAGCGTGGGAAGACACTACCAAACTGTGTGGGTACAGGGAGGCATGAACAACCTGGAGGCTGTAACTGCAACAATCCACCACCATGTGTTCATGAAATCACCAGAAAGCAGGAAGGCTGGAGAGTGAAGAGTGGAGGGAACCGTGGTACTGGATGAAGCTTGGGGTGGCAGGGGCTAGAACATGCAGGCTTCAAACAGTGCTGGGAGAGTCTGGTCGTTATCCTGAAAGCAGGCAAGCTCTCTGGTTTCTGAATTTCTCCTGTGGGCGTGGTCTTAAAAACTAAATCCCTTGAAGGCTGAACTGCCCTTGGTGAACTAGCAAGCTTTCCAGGCTTGAGGAGCGAAGGACAGGATGTGGTACATGGCCTGGTCCCACACAACCTTGCCGGAAGCCTGTGCAGCTATCAATGCCCCAGGCCTTCCCTACTCTGTGCCTTTGCACCGCTTCTTCCTCAGCTTCTCCATAGGGCCAGCTCCTACATCCCCAGGAATCAATTCAGGCACCACCTCCTTAGGGAAGACCTCCCTAATTTCTCTAAGCTCAAAGACAGGTAGAATGAGACCATGAGGCCTAGCAAACCAACATGTGTCTCTTTACAGTGGCCTTGTGTTTTCCAGGACCAAGGTGGTATGAGGCCCAGCCCTGCCCGTGTGGGCAGAACACTTCACCCAGGCTCTCCCTATCTTTTTGCCTGTTTGCCTTCCACTAGACTGCGTTTCTTGAAGGAATGCCCATAATTCCAGTGCCTACACATACTTGAATGAATAAATGAATGAATGAACCCATCACTAAACAGGACTTTCCTCCAAAAGCTCCAGCCAGCCTTACTAAAGTCTTCTGTCATGGCAGTTGAGGGAGGGTTTCTCTCCAGCGAGGCCAAGATCTCCAGTGTCTCCCACTTCCAACCTGAAGCCACCTACCCAGAGGAGAGAAGTCTCTGGCTCAGGGAAAGTCCACCACAGGGCAGTCAGAGGTGAAGACAAGTGCCTCGGCATCACTTACCGTAACAGGGGAAGAATCAGCCAGCTGTGGCCATTGGAGCAGGCTTTCTTTAGGTGCTGGAACAGCCAGCCAGGGGCACTGAGTGAGGACCACCTGGGCACTGATGCCATGAAGCCAACTGATGAGTCAACTTCCTCACTGCAGCCTGGAGAAGCAGCTCCTATGGATCACAGGCTGAGAAGAGCCCCAGGACCTGCCCACCAGTCCTGACAGAGGCTTTTCCAAGTCAGCTTCGTGGTCTTAAAGAATGATGGTGTAAATTAGCCTGCCTCTCTTGCGCAGAAGAGAAACTGAATCTCAGGGAGATCAGCTTTGGACTCATCGGCCACCTTAACAGTTATGGCCATCCAGATAAAAGACTACATTTCCCAACCTCCATTGCAGCTAAGTACGGCCAAGTGGCCAGGCTGTAGCCAATCAGACATGAATGAAAGCGATGTCTATAATTTTGAGGTTGTTCTCATACACGGCAGAGGTGTACCGTCCTTTCCTGTTTTTCTCCTTCCTGCTGCCTGGCAAGCCTTCTAGGACCATATAGCCACGGGCAATACCTTAGAAAGATGGAGCAACAATATAGAAAGAGCCAGGACCCCGAAATCTGGGCACATGACCTGGAAGCCACCATACCAGACCTGAACAGCCTATGCCTTTTAAATGAGGGTGAAAGAAAATAGACTATCTAACCACCTCACACCCACGAGCATGGCTAACTTTCAAAAAAAGAAAGAAAATAACAAGAATTGGTGATGTTGCGGAAAAAGTTGAAACACTTGAGCAGTGTTAGTGGGAATGTAAAATCATTCAGCTACTGTGGAAAATAGTATGGCATTTCCTCAAATGATTGAAAATAAAACTGCCACATGATCCAGCAATTGTATTTCTGGAGATATGCCCAAAGAATGGAAAGCAGGGTCTCAAGAAATAGTTGTACACCCATGTTCACAGCAGCAGTATTGACAGTAGCTAAGACATGGAAACAACCAAGTGTTCATCTAGGGATGAATGGATAAGCAAATATGGTATGTCCATACAGTGGAATATTATTCAGCCTTTAAAAGAAAAAGAGATTTTGACATATGCTACAACATGGATGAACCTTGAGGACATTATGCTAAGTGAAATGACCCAGTCGTAACAGGACAAATACTGTATGGTTCCACTTACATGAGGTACTAGAGTAGTCAAATTCCTAGAGACAGAAAGCAGAATCGTGGTTTCCAGGCACTGGAGGTGGGTGGGCAGGTGAGGAGTTTTTGTTTAATGGGTCCAGAGTTTCAGTTTTACAAAATGAACAGAATTACAGATCTGGATGGTGGCACACGTTATGAATGTATTTAATGAATGGCACACCTTAAAAAGGTTAATATGGTAAATTTTATGTTCTATTATTTTACCCCAATAAAATTTTTTATAAAAGAAAATCACCTATCTTGATTAAGCCACTATTAGTTAAGGCATTTGCTAGAGCTGTTGAACTGTCTACATCCTCCTGACACATGTAAAATAGCCCAGGACTGAGTTTCCTCAGGAAGCCCTTTTTCCAATTGGCTAGGACCCCTAGGGCTGCCTCATCACCAGGCACTCCACTGTCCCAGAACAACAAAGCTGTGACCTGCAGCCACCCCAGGGACAGGTTATTTTCTTGGAATAAGAGCTGGGGAAGCTGCCTGGAGGAACCTGCTAGATTGCCAGGGAAGGGAAGGGGAGTAAGCACAGCAGATCCTCCACCAGCGTAGACACCAGTAAACTTGTACCGTCATTCAAAGTCAAATACTTCCAGGCCTGTGGGTCAGCAGCCACTGCCCTGAGGCACCCCACTCCTTGAAGTTTCCCTCTCCCTGGCTATCGTAGACCCAGACCCACCAACTAAATGGGTAACATTTAGCACAAGAAGGGATCCCAGGATGTCATTCTTACCTCCAGCTACTCTGATTCAGCAAGCCATACTTGAAGACTTTGAACATTATCCCTGGCTATAAGTTACCTGGTCTCAACTGACTGAAGGAAAAAAAACACGGCCGGGGGGCAGTGACTCAAGTCTGTAATCCCAGCACTTTGGGAGGCCAAGGCAGGAGGAATGCCTGAGCTCAGGAGTTCGCGACCAGCCTGGACAACACGGTGAAACCTCGTCTCTACTAAAATACAAAAAAAAAAAAAAAAAAATTAGCCAGGCATGCCAGCCGTGGCAGTGTGCACCTGTAGTCCCAGTCACTCGGGAGGTTAAGGCGGAAGGATTGCTTAAACCTGGGAGACAGAGGTTGCACTGAGCAAAGATGGAGCCATTGCACTCCAGCCTGGGCGACAGAGCAAGACTCTGTCTGGGGGGGGGAAAAAAAAAAAAAAAAAAAGCCCTAAACTAAACTCAGTGTTGAGGGTGACAAGAGTTCTAAAAGGCAGACCTGTCGTTCAATTCCCACCTCCACTTCTTTCTTGCTGTCCTCCCCAAAGCCAGGAACACCCAGACCCCGATGAGGCCCTCTGGTACCCATTCAGAAGGTCCCACAATCACACACAGAGATTATTGCACTCTTTTATTTACAGAAAACACACATAAAGCATTTCAATGTTCATTTAGCAAACTGATCCACTCTTTTTTTTTCTTTTTGGCACAAAGAAATATCACAGATGGACCCCGAGATCAATCAGAAGCTCATAAGATTCATCAGTCATCACTGGTCCAGGGGCGGCCACGAGACTCAGACAGACAGACAGCATCACCACAGACTGGAAACAGAAACAGGTCCACGTTCACCTCACAGTAAAAACCTGCCTCACCGACAGGCAAGGGCGGGCAGGAGGGGGCAGTTTCGCTGCTCTAAGGGGGAAAGTGGGTGTCAGGGGCAGGAAGCAGGGATGGGGAAAGGATGGACACCATTCATAAATTAGAGACAAGTGGTCCTCTTGTTTGTATCCTCTTACCTTGAATAGTAAGACAGTGCAAAAACTAGATACCCGACCACTCACCCATTCAAAAGCTTGAGAAGTCGCCTCGCGGGTGCCCGTGTGCGTGTGTGGATGTGTAAGTGTGGTGCTTGTAAACATTGTCACCGTCCGCACAGAGACCCAATATCCGTGTGTCTGAATGGGGTGGGGTGGGGGCGGGACCCCACTTCACGCGCCTCTGCCCCAGTGATTCCCGTCCAAGACATAGTGCAAATTTCAGAGACAAAAATGGGCAGAAGGGAGTGGGGTGAGCTAAGGGCAGGAGGGACACGAAGATGAGGTGGGTAGAGGGAGGGGGAAATAAGGCAACAGTTAAAACGGTCCATTTTATCAAAACCTACACCGTGCGCCTCCCGCCCCCACCCGCGCTGCCCGGGTCACGAGAAGGGGCGGAAGTCCCGCTCCTCCACCAGGCTGACCGAGGGGTTCTTCAGCTCCTCCTCCGAGGCGGCGATCTTGTAGCCCAGCTGGGCCAGCACCTGCTGGCAGGCGTTCTGGGCAAAGGCCACGATGTCGTAGGAGAGGCGGAAGCGCCACTTCTCGGCAGTGGCCGCCGAGTTTCGCACGGTGCCGTATTTGTGCTTGCCCAGGGTGGGGTCGCCCCGCGTGTTGTTCTGGATCCAGCGGGCCACGTGGCTGTCCAGCGGGATGCCCAGGAACCCGTAGATCTCCTCGGTCTTCTTCATGGGATTCCGGGCCAGGTCCTCATAGCGCACCAACATGTACTTGCCCTTGAGCCACGGGGGCCGCATGAGGCCGGTGGACACGGAGTTGGAGAAGTCCTCGCACACTGTGGTCAGCTGCGTCACGTCCAGGTTGTAGGGTTTCCTCCCTGTGCCGTACCAGAGCCGCCAGAGCCGGTACGTGTCCCGGAAGGTCTCGCTGCGCGAAGCCAGAATGCCGCGGGGGTCTCGGACCAGCTGGATGACCTTGAGGTTTAACCGCGGGTCTTCCACCAGGGCGCGCAGGTCGTTCACCTCGGGCACGCGCACCGTCTTGATGGCCACGTGGCTGCGCTCGCGGCACGCCTCTGCCGCCACCGTCAGGTTGAGTAGCCCGCACTTGCGCACGCAGTCCCCCTCCTCCAGGACCAGGTCGGCTGGCCCCGGAGGGTCGCACACAGGCCGAGAGCAAAGGACCCGGCTGGCCCCGCGGCGAAAGATCCTGTCGGTGGTGTGGTTGACCGGCGGCGGCTTGATGTAGTTCTCCAGGAAGTAGAGGTCGCAGTCGTAGAGGCTCCGCAGGAGGTCTCGGCTGGCGCCCAGCATGACCCGCCGGTCGGCCGGGCTCTTGCCCTGGGTGAAGCGGGGGATAAGCGTGTTCTGGACGTGGTAGAGGGGCTCAAACAGGTAGAAGACGTCCAGGTGCTGGTTGAAGAGCTGGCCCACGAAGGAGGAGCCGCTGCGCGTAGTGGCCAGGATGAGGATGTGGGTCTTGCGGGAAAGGTTGTAGGCGAAGGTGGGGCTCTCCTCACACAGTCGCTCGGCCAGTCCGGCCTCCGCCAGCCCGGGGCAGGTGTGAAAGGACTTGGCGGTGAAGGTGCGGATGGCCGTGTACTGGATGGCAATGGAGGCCAGGGCAAGGAGGAGGACGGCCTTCCAGGAACATTGCATGGCTGGGCACCTTCATGGGGCTGCTTCTCCACGGGGCGAGGTCTGCGGGCAAAGGCAGCCAGCGGTCAGGTGCCTCCACGGTGGGGGCACTGGCTTGTCCCTTGGAAGAGCTGGTCTCCAGGGGACCCAGGGAAACGCCGGACTCCCTGTCCAGTGCTCACCACACACCCTGAAGACCTAAGCGGCTTCTACACTAGACTACCGTTCTCTGGGGGACTCCTGGGAGCTTTGGGGAGCTGAACAAATATTCCTTGCACCCACTGCAGACAGCTGTGGAAGCCTCCTATGGTGAGCTCTGAGTTCCTTAGAGGGGCCTCACAGGGCAAGAGCCTGACTCTCCCTACTCCCGCACTGAGGGAATGGCCAGGGCCTGCCTCAAACCCCGCCCCTCTCGCCTGCCAGCGTTTCCCACCCCCACGAGCTGGCGCCCAGTTCTCCAGGTGGTCCTCTTTCCTCTCCTCTGCCCATCCCTAGGGGGAAGAAGAGTCCCTATCAGGTGCCTCCATGTGACCCCAATCGCCTGAGCGTGAAAGACCCCTGCAGACCACGGTCGGTGAGTTGCCAGCACGGCCAGGCAAGGTGGACAACTGTGTCAAGCCCCCTCCAACTCATGGATGCAGGTGACCACTTACTCCAGATGTGGACGTCTGGGGCTCATGGAGTCTCTAAGAGTCTCTGGAGCAGAGACAGGTGTCCAGGGTCTGCTGAGAGGCGACCCTTCCCAGCACCCAGGGTCTGCTCCTAGTCTCTAGGGGCAAGGGTCCAGGCCACGGAAGCCACTGACACAGAGTGAACTGGCCTGCAAAGAAGATCTTAGGGAGTCAGGGGCCTCCACTCTTACCTCCTGTGCCCTCTCTGCCCACAGAAGGGGGACTGGGGAGGGACCATGGAGAAGCAGAAAGAGCGAATGGGGCTGCTTAGAGTCCAGGGTTGGGAGCCCACCTGAGCATCCTGCAGGCACCCTCTCTGGAAGCTGGCTCAGCTACCAGACCTGAGTGGGGACTGGGGCTGCCCCCAGGGAGAATGCAGGAGGGCCCAACCACTTACCAAAGAGGGGCTGCTCCAAGCTGGGGAGTCCAGGTCCAGCTGGCAGTCCCAGCCAGTGTGGCAGCCCTGTGGCCAGCAGACTGCAAGAGACAGGGAGGGGAAGGGCTCAGAAGGTGGAGCTGGGGTCTCAGTGCCTCCTCCCCACTCCTTCTCTTCTGTGTCCTGTGCCCCACAGTCTGCCCCGAAGGCCAGGCAATAAGGGCTCTGCCTGGTCTCCAGATCCATCCCTGACTCAGCGCCCCAAACAACCCAGTGCCATCGCTGATCCTCGGAGTGTGGCCCTCTGAGTCCTGGACTGTATCCCACTTTTACCTTCCTCGCCCACCCCACCACATCCTCCTAATAAACCGCAGTCCTCTGCTCACACCAGAACCCAGCAGGCAGGGAGGCTGGCAAGGTTCTGCATTTTAAATCCATGAAACAATCCTAACCCTTTAAAATTCAACTTGTGCAGCGATTCCCCCAGGAAGCGGGTTAGCAGAAGTCAGCAAGGGCAAGGGGGCTCACCCCAGGCCTCCAGGTCAAAAGGGCACCTCCAACGCAGCTGGAGAGAAACTCTTCTTCAAACCACACCGAAGTGACACCAGCTACCTGAAACTCAAAGCAAAAGTGGCCAGGGAGCATTCCTGACCTTGATGCAACTCACAGAGTCTGAATTAAAACACGAAGATCATCACATTATCTGTTAACATCTATTGCGCCAAGCCCCTTCCCTGCATCAGCTCATGTCCTTCTAGCAAGAACCAAATGTAGAAGTCAATATCTGCCCACTTCACAGGCGAGAAAGCCGAGGCACAGAGGTAGAGGAACCGGCCTGAGCTCTCAGGCCTGCTTTAACCCTCATCTGGTAGGTTCCCCAGAGTCCAGCTCTTTCCCTCTAAGGAGATTTGGCTTCCTGTTCCTCCAGCTTAAACATATTTGGCCTCCAAACATGCATTCCGTTACTGGCCCCAGCCCATTTGTGAATCAGCATGACGGGGACTGTGCAGGCAGATGCTTCTGAGACTTAAAGCATGTTCCTCCCTTTGCTATCTGGTCCTGTGGATCTGTTGGTTCACAGCTGATGGGGTGAACTCAAGTGCTTTGTGAAGATTCTTCCCACACCCCACTATTTGGCATGACTCCTTTGGGAGTGGGTGAGTGGATTCTCATTTCCCAAACCCGCAGTGCTGCCTGGCCCAGCTCACCCAACTTCTAGCACCGTGTTATTCCCCATAAGCACTCTCGGAGGTCAGGGTCCTCACTCCCACTGTTCAGATGGAGAAATCAAGTCCTGTTTTAAATAGGAAATTTCACTTCTTTAGGAATCAGTGTCAGATCACCAAGTGGCAGGCAAGAGGGAAAGGGGCGCAGTTTAGATTCTTAGGAACTTCTCAACGTGATCAGAGAAAAACCGCAGTCCCAACCACACTGCATCCCACCCCAACCTCATCCCATAGTGGCAGAGGATGCTGGCCTCCATCAGGGGGCTGGGCCAGGTACCCGGGGAGAAAGACCCCTCTATTTTAAACCCGGCTCCCCTGCAAGTGCAGGCCTGCTCTGCCCAAGTGCCCTAAGGCGAATGTGAATGGCTTTCAAGAAACAGACAGGGAATGTCATCAATAATAGTGCCAGGTCATATTTTTAAGTTATTTAGGAGTCTGTTCTTTGGCTGCAGCATCATTTCATTTGGATGCACTTCCTTTGTATTTATTCACAGACATCTATCAGAACTCCTGTATGTGCTGGGCACTGTTCTAGATGCTATGGGTCAAATAATACCAAGGAAGGCAAGCACTTGCTGGGCATTCACAATGTTCCTCCCAGGCACATGCTTCTTTCACAGCCATCAGCTCATCGCACCCTCATGCCAGCTCTATGAAGTTGATACTGTCACAATCCCATTTTACAGATAAGGAAGCTGAGGCCCCTCAAGGTTAGATAACTTCCCCAAGCTCACACCCCTAAAAAGGAGCCAGGATTCCAGCCCAGGCAATGTGCTAGGAAGTCCACGTTCAAATCCTTTTCCCTAATTCCACTCATATTCCACCCTCCTTGGTCCTCGTCAAGACAGGAAACAGAATCCTTAAGGAGTCTTCACTTAATTCTGGGGTTCCAATTCCAAAAGCAGAATCCACCCTAGGGTTTTATTTAAAGAGGAACATCTTGCCATCTTGCTAGGGAGGGGGCCATTTGAGTTTCTTCCCCCAACTCTTCCTCCACCCGGAGAAACTTAAGGCCAGGACTGGAAGCTGCTGCTTTGCTAATAAATCAGAAGTCACTGAAGCAGCTGGATGTTATAAATCCCTAAGACAGCGAGACTCGGCCTCATAAGGTACGGCCTGGACAGCGGGGAGGGGAATGAGTTTGAAGGCCCAGCCACAGGCCATTCCCTTGTACCCCCAGGGACGGCAAAGCCTGAGCATGGGAATGGGAAGATGGGGGAAGTCCAGCCCTCCTGGAAATGCCCCCACTCTCCCAACCTGGCAGAGCTGGGCCCGGGGCTGGCCAAGTGTCCTTGGTATGCTAAAGGCATCTGCCCTGGAAACCAGAGGCCCTGGGGCCAGGTCCTATTGTTCCCAAGGGAGCCTTAGCCACTGCAAAAGACTCCTCAATGCCCTCATCCTGCAAGCCAAACCGTGGCCCCCAGAGCCCGTCCCCTAGGCTTCTAGCAACCTCTGGTCTGGCCTCCCTCTACCTCTGCTTAGTAAAAATCCAAGCAAACCTTGGATACAGGAGACCAGGATCTATCATTTCTGTTAGGAAGCAGGCAAGTTGGTGAACCTTTAGTCCCCATAGAAAGCTCAGATTTCATTATCAGCCAACTTGAGATGAGGGCACAGACTGGGAGCAGTGAACAGCTCTATGTTGGAAAACTGTAATTCACAGTAAGAGCTCACACCCTGAACCATGCCTACCTGGATCTGTCACACAGCAGGTGTGTGGGCCTGCGTGATTCACCAGCTGTCCCTGAGCCTCAGTTTCCCCATCCATAAGGTGGGCATAGCTACAGTAGTGCTGGTAAGAATCAAAGGTCTTAAAGTATTTAGTCAATGCCAGGCATACAGACACGATCCAGCCTCTGACACCAGCCCTGCTGATCCCAGCTCAGCCAATTACTGGCTGAGAGATCTTGGCTAGCTTTCTTCATCTCTCTGGGCCTCTGTGTTCACACATGCAAAAATGGGGATAATTATAACAAGGCTGTTGTGAGGACTAATTAGTGAGTACAGTGCCTGACGCAGGGTAAGCACTCACTAAATGTCAATTAGTATCGTCATCAGTAAATGTCTGCTTTGCCTTCCATCTCAGGAAAGGGCCTAGAACAAATCATCCTGCAGCCCACGGGGTCTGGCTCTATCCACCGCCCCTTCTTCCTGCAGCTCCTCTCCTGGCCTGGGAACTTCTTCCTGCTGAGCCACCGCAGTGGCTTTCCTGCTGCCCTCTAGTGACCACATCCTGCGGTGCCGCCTCGTAGTCCTGTCACCGCTGCTGTATTCAGAATTCTGGGACTGTTGGCTACAACCTGATGTGAGGATGCAGCCAGCAGGAGGTGATGTCGCAAGATGCAGTGAGGTGTGAGGATGGCACGCCCACCCGGGCTTCGGCCTCTGCTCGGTACACCCCCACCTCAGCCAATAATACCAAGGAAGGCAAGCCCAGCAGCAACAGGCAGCCTCGCCTCCTCCCAAGGGCCTCTCCTGCTCATCTCATGGTGCTCTGTCAGGGAAGGAGCACAGACCTGAATGTCACAGGCAGGACTGGCCCACACAGCCTCTGCCTTTCCCTGGCTGGGTGACCTTGGACTCACCCTCTGGCCTCTCTGTGCCTGGGTTACACCATAGATCCAGTGATGACTGAAGGGCCTCCCGGCTCTGACCCTCGTGTTCTCTATAATCCTGGAAAGACCCCAGACTTCATTCTCAGGCACAGTTGGGGCCACCCACACAGCAGAGGGACCCTCCATTGGGAATGGGAAAAACCCAATCTTCTTCCAGGAAGATTCTAGGGCTGGGCATCTCTGTCCCCCACTCAGCCTGATCTGTGGCAGACCCAGGGAGTGGAGGCCTTAGAACCTAGCGGTGCTGCCCTCTGCCAAGTTAGCCTCACATTTTGTTGTAGAGAAATCCCATCAAACCCAAGGCTGAGGCCTTGTTTCACCTGTTCTGGGCCACAGACCCTTCGAACCACAATCCCTCCCCTTAGAAATGCCACTAGTGCCCACAATTTTATACACACAATTTAGAAGTTTCCCAAACCTCTGAAAGCCCACACATGGACACCCCACCCTTTCCTAGAAGCTTAACCCCTTCCTTATTAGCATGTCCAGGGGATTATCTTTCCAACTGACTATATCAGAGAAGCCTCCTCAGGCATGAATATACTGATAGAAACAGTCACTCAGCATATATAAGTTTCAAAAGCTAGAGCCAGAAAACACATGTGTAATAGTACACCACCATTTCAGATTTGTTTAAAGAGGTGGACATGTATATTTGCATATATGCATAAACAATCACTGAAAGAGCTTGCACTGAACTAGTAACAGGAGATGCCCCAGATGGAGGGGGCCTCGAGAAGACTGAGGTAGGAGGAGACACTGTCTACACTGAACTTTTTTATTCAGTTTGAGTTTATTAATTTGGGGGGACACAGTGAAGCCACTTGATGTAGGAAGTAGAGAAGTGATTGATAACAGGGTGTGGTACTGAAAATCAGCCCTGGCATCTCACTGTGCCTCCCACCCTACCCCCAGGCACTGCCAGCCAGCTCTCCCCACCCCCATTTCCAAGGCACCAGGGTCAAAGGCACTGCTTTTCCACCAGAAATGGGCTTTGTCTGCTCAGGTGGGCCACTAAGGACAGTAGGCAGCTGGGGACTGCTGAGACACAGGGCCAGAGCTGAAATAAAGCTGGATTTCAGAGGGGGGCCTGGGGCTACAGGAGCAGCTGAGCCCTGGGTTGGGGAAATGACTCTTCTCCCAGACATTTCTCCCTGAAAAACTACTGTGAAGCCCTGGGGGATGAAGAAGCAACACAGTGAGGGCGGGGGAAGAACCTGAACATCGTCTTTCCGGACAAACTCAGGAGCCGTGATGAATGGGGCCCCAAGGCTCTGGGGTCCCAAGAACTGGAGCAAGGTATAAGGGAATGGGGCAGGGAGGGAGGAGCTGGCAAACAGGCCTCTAGGATGGAGACTGCAGAGAGGAAATGTCCCTGGCTCTGACGTAGCCAGCACTGATCCACCATAAATGTTTGTTTAGTTAAGACTAAAACACATAAAACAGCAAGGTGTTTTTCTCTAAGGAAAACGAGGTGATGAAAATGAGGCAAGGCAAGGGGAAAACAAGAGTGTAAGAGTCTGAAAGAACCAGAGGCCAAGTCAGTGTACAAGAGTCACACCATGTGTGGGCTACTGAGCTAAGTCAGAGCTTCCTGGCAGGCAGTAGGAAAAGGGAAATATTTCATTTACTTGTTTCTCAGGACCCATGAGATAAAGATTAAAGCATCCACTCAAGAGATATCCAGCTATTCCTGACACTGAATTCAGTGCAAGATTTCTCCCGAGGGAGCTCTTACAGAGCCCTGTGCGTATGCCACCATGAACCCGTCCTCAAGACTTTGTACCTAAGAAATCCAAAGGCGAGTTTCATGGGACAGTGTCCTAGAGCATCCTTCCATGTGGGCAGTATGCCAACACACAATCCAACCAGTGCAATCTTCTAGGGGGTTGAGCTGCTGGGATCCAGACTCAGCCTCTGTGGTCTAGGTCAGCCCAGTGGACCCCTTCTCTTTGGGGTCATGCCCACCTCAACTTGAAACACTGTGAGGTCTATGGACCCTCTCTCCAGAACCTGGACCACCACAAACATGGTACTTGTGAACAATCCCTAGAGTCCCTGGGCCCCACAGGCAGAACCACTACATCTTTTGGGCACCTCCAGTGGGGACAAGCTCTCACAGTCATGGTTTCCAAGACAAGCACCTGGAGAGCGATGGGTCTACCGATTTTTCACTATCAGCAGGGATGCCCAGTTGCCTCCTATGAGATCCGGTGTCTCCAGGGCAGAGCACTCCAATGTCCACATGATACCCATGGATGTCTCAAGCCTCCTGGAGAAGGTGCCCACAGGCATTCGGGGAAGCAGTCTGGGGGGTGTTCAGGCACCCCAGCTGTGGGGCCACAGAGGCCTGGATTTGGGAATCCGACTGCTGTTGCCTTATAGCTATGAGTCATTGCACAAGGCACTTAACCTCTATAGGCCTCACTTGTCCTTATGTAGGAAATGGGAGAAACGATCACAGAATCTAATATTTGGGCAGTGAGACAGAAGGCCGATGGGTGCCCACAGCTTAACACAGTGGTAGGCAC